GGTTCCCGCTCACTGGCTGAGCGAGGCGCGGGAGCAACGCCGAGGGTTGCAATTCCGTTGCCGGTCCACAGTCTGGTACGGGGGTTGCGATCCATTGCCGGGGGTTGCGATCCGTTGCCGGACACGGAAAAAGACAAAAGACAAAAAAAAAAAAAAAAATTCAGCTCCCTTGGGCCGAGCCCGTGGCGCACTCGGGAGATGGTAGTGATGTGGTGAGTGTGAAGTTATTTTGGGTGTACTTTAAGATAGGCTCTTTCTGGTAGAGCAAGTGAATGAGTATGTCAATGTTGTTGGAAACCAGAATTCTCACTGTGGAATGAGAGAAGGTGAGAAAGAACTGTGATGCTGGATTGTAATTGCGGGTTTCAGTATGAACTCATGATTTCTTAAAAGTATATATATTTCCTAGCTCTGTCCATTGAAACAGTCTAGAAGCAATGCACCCCAGTAGTAATGAACATGTCCTGCACCCAGATCTTAGTTTCTAAATACCATACCCCACGAAAAGGAACCAGGGATTTTTGAAGAAATGGCTGATTCTTGGGCTGGGGCAAAAAAAAAACCTACAAGATGAGCCTGGAGCATCTTGTAGTGCCAGAAAATAAAGACATGCTTGAAAGACAAAGGATGGGGGGATGTCAAAGCCACACTGGAGCCGGCCTGAAAGAACAAAAGCTAGAACAATTTGAGCCTCCAAAAATATGTTAAACCTTTTGGAGACGAGTAATTATGGGGAGGGGGCATGAGGGAAGGTTCTTAGCAATATTCTGTATTGTGATCTGTGGGGATAGGTACATGGGTGTATTCACTTTGAAACTCTATTGAGCTGTACACTTACGATTTCTGCAAATTGCTGTATGCACGTTATAGTCCAATGGAAAATTACCCCCAAAATTACGGTCTTTGATTCTAAGTTGTTCTATAAAAAAGTTGAGTCTTTGTAGAGAAATGGCAACTAATAAGTGTAGAGAGAAAGCATCAGAAGATCACCATTTTGGGGCTGGCCCGTGGCTCACTGGGGAGAGTGCGGTGCTGATAACATCAAGGCCCCGGGTTCGGATCCCATATAGGGATGGCCGGTTCGCTCACTTGGGAGAGCGTGGTGCTGACAACACCAAGTCAAGGGTTAACATCCCCTTACTGGTCATCTTTAAAAAAAAAAAAAAAATTACTCAGTTTGAGGTCTTTTGTTATAAACAACAGTAATGGACTAGTACAGTCTCCCACTTCCCATCATGAAAAGCTTGGCTGAGTGGTATTGCCATTCATTGAGGTGGGCTATGGAGAAAATGTGCTGGATGTGAGTGCCAAGAGAGAAGGAGCTGTGTCTTCCACTGTTAGTGTCGCCAGCACTTGGGACATGGCAGGCACTCAGTGAATGAACAAGGTGTTTGCAGGACAGCCAGGAGCTGTCTAGGAACCAGGCCCTAGAGATGTGGGCTGGAGCTCCGGAGAGAGGGCTGGGATGAGATGCAGGCGTGGGCATGAAGAACAGAAGTGGAAGTGAAGGAGAATGAGCTCTCCCAGGAAGTGACAGAGAGAGAGAAGAGAAGGGGTCCAAGGACAGAGCCCGGGGGCCCTCAACATTGAGAGGTGGGGAGTGTGCATGCGCATGAAGCAGCAGCAGAGGAGCGGAGGAGGGCAAAGACTGAGGACTGCCAGAGCCGTTCGCTGGGGCCCCAGGAGCCCCGGGGAGGCTGTTCTGGCTGGACCCTGGAGGAGGACAGAGGTGCTTGTTGGGTGTTTTGTCTATTCCCCAGGCTTCTCAGGGCTGGAAGGCCAAGGCCAGCCACAGCTGCTGCATATCTATGCCCAGGAGCTCCCGGCCCGGGCAGACCTACTGTAGCTGGCGAGGCCTGCACGGGACGCCTGCAAGACACCAGCAGGTTGTGGGCACAGCTAATCTATTGCTGGGGCACCTCCAACTCAATGAGCCCCACCCCAAAGCAAGTGCTGCTCTTCTCTGAGTCTGCCCTTCCTCCTGTGGACCCTTGGGAAATGGCACTACAAGCATCTCATCCAAGCTGCCAGACCACTTCTGTCCCAGAGAGGCCATTTCAGCTGTGCCTTTCATTCGTGCTGCTGTCCTTGGTGTCATCATGATCACACCACGTCCCTGGGGGTCAGGGACTATCCTGAGGCCCCCTCGTCAAGGGACAGGTGGTGGGTCGCAGGCCTCTGCATAGGGCAAGGGGCAGTGGGCAGATTGGTGCCACCTCTCAGGGTGGACACTTGGCCCGGAGAGGCGCAGCGCCTGCAGCAAATGTTCCAACCCACGCTGAAGGTTCTTAGCATTTGGGGCCTGCAGCCTGTGGCCATTCCATCTTCACGCAGAGTCTCAGTCTCCTCTCATGACACTGCCCCTCCCATTTCTTATCCCTGTAGCATTTCCTCCCTTTCCTGTCTTCCCTTCCCAGACCTGCCAATCCCTGCACTGCCACAGCTCTCCATGGCTTAACACCACCGATGACACCAATAACAATAAGCACTCTCTTCACATGCCTGCACAGACGAGCTTCTGCAATGAGGGGTCCCCAGTCACGATCACCACTTCCTCATCTTCCCTTACTCCCCAGCTCACCACACAGTGGCTTCCTTCCCTCATCACCAACCACCTCCTCGCTACTAGCTCCAGAGGGGGATCCATCCTGCCCTGGCTGTGTCTCTTGGCAACACTGGACAACCCCCACTTTCTAGAAGCCTGCTCTTGGCTCTCCCTGTGATCTTGTGTACCCCTCTGCCCCCACTTCATCTCTGGTTGGTGAAGTTCCTCAAGGCTCAGTCTTCTCCCTTCTTTTCATGCCACACTCTCTGGAAAGCCACCTCACCTGTCCTCACACCTTCTAGGACTTCCTGTCCACATATAACTCCTAAACACCATTGAAGGCTGCACAGCAGCACGGTTACCAGGGCTCAGGAGTCAGACCAGGCCTGGGTTCAAGTCCTGACTCCTCCATTTCCTAGCAAATAGCAATGGGCAAAGTTGTAATGAGATACGAATTCTGCAAACAAGGGGCTTTGAACAATCTAGTAATCGTCCACCAAACAGTACCATATTTCCTCTTAAATTTTCTGGATCAGCCCTTCATTCAGCGAGCCTTCCAGCACACACTGAAGACTCTTCACTCCTCTGTCTCCATGTCCAGCCCATCTTCCTTCTGACTTCCTGACCCCAGGGTCCAACTACCCAGCAGATGGCTCTCCTGGTCACCTCTCTGGCCTTCCAAGGCAACCCCCCCCCCCATTTAGTCCCCTCATTCTACAGGCAGCCTCTCTCCAAAAGCTGCCAACTGTACCATCTGAATACATCAGGATAGTTGTTTTTTCATAAACATCCAAGGCAAGTCTCCTAACCCCCTGGCCTCCAGGCGCTGTCA